CCGGCGGCCGGCGGCAGCTCCGTGGCTTCGTGCTTCACGCGGGTCAGCAGCGGGATGGGCATGGAGGGGGACACGGCGTAGGGGGGCCCGGGGGCGGCCGGCTGCAGCTGGTTGCAGGGGCTCTGGGGCTCGGAGCTGGCGTCCTCCATCACAGCCGTCTGTGAGTCGCAGTGGGGCGAGCTCACCTTGAAGAGCAGGTCGGTGCCACGCTCCACGATGTGCTGGATCTGCAGGAAGCCGGCCGTGTACATGACCACGAGCTGCTCGCTGGCCGCCATGGTCAGCCTGCCCGTGTAGCAGAAGGACAGGATCTGCTGGAAGCAGGCGGGCGGCACCGTGCCCGGCAGCTCGAAGGCGCTCTTGCTGTTGCCGCTGAACAGGTCACGGAAGTAGAGGCTGCTGGCGGCCAGCACGGCCCGGTGGGCCTTGAAGGCCTGGCCCTTGACCACGATGGACACATCGCAGTAGAGGCCCAGCAGGCGCTGCTCATTCAGGCAGCCCAGCACCGTGTTCCCAAAGTTGGGGATCTCAATGTGCAGCATCTGCGACATGGTGGGCAGGCTGGCGGGCCCCTTGGACTCTCAGCGCGGGAGCGGCCCGAGCAGGCACATCTGTGGGAGAGGGCGAGGGGCACCGTGGTCAGCCTCCTGGATGCCCAGTGCCCACCCGGCAGGGCCAAGCCCCGCACAACCCCCCCGAACACGCTGTACCCCAGCACCCCCCTGCCGGTCACTCCCAGGCGCCCTCCAGCCACAACTGTCTGGAGGTCTTGGGCCGACCTCGCTCACAGGGGACCCTGGCCCAGCCAGTGCTCAGAGCTGCAGAGGACACTGGAAGCCCAGAGCCGCCTCCCCGCCCCCACGCCCGGGAGGGACGGAGCCCTCAGCCAGGCCCGCCGTGGCGGAAAGCAGCCGAGGGGCCCGCACGGCAGCGGGGACCGGCGGCCAGAGCAGGGCATCAGCCCGCTCGCTGGCTCACCAACTCTTCCCAGGAAAAAGTTAGCAGCCAAGAAGCCCCTCGCCGCCTTTCCCCAGGGAGGGGCCCGAACCAAGAGCAACGGGTGCCGCCTCCCCGGGGGCCACGGGGGTCTTTCCCCCCGGCTCTAGGTTTCTGGCTTTACTTTTTCTCCGAGCAGCGGCGCAGGGCCGGGTGGGGCGCCGGGCAAGTGAGCGAGCTGAGAACTCCGCGGCTCGGCTCCGCCGCCTCCGCCTCCCGCCCTGTCCCGCGGGGAGCCCTCTAGGGCCAGAGGGGCTCCCGGCCCCGAGCTGCCGGCCGCGGGACCCGCTGGGAGCCTGTCGCAGCCCCCCGGCCCCCCAGCTCCCACCACCGGCCAGCACCCGCCGGCTCGGGCAAGCCCAGGTGACTACAGGGGTCACGGGGAAACTGGGGACCGGGACTGGCCTGGGCGGGGGATGCTGCTGTGCGCCCCCGGACGGGGACGGGGCTCTGGCACTGCTGATCCCGTGCCCGCATCCAACGCGGGCAGGGACGGACGGGCGGAGAG